GTTTGGATTTTTTTTGATTTCTATTAACAGTATTTGTTGTAATTTGTATTTGAGTTGAGTATTTAGAAAGTCCATTTACTACAAGAGCAATGTAATTGGTTTTTTGTGGTTGAAGTATAAATGAGAATGTGTCTTTTGTTTGTGTTAACATTGTTTTATGTAAGCAAGAATTAACTGATGGCCCACTTGGACAACTTGAAGAAATTCTAAGAAAGATAGTTGTTGGAGGAATCGTTTGAATTGTTCTCAACGTAACTTGGATTGGTTGTGTGACTTTATTAGTAATTCTGTACCAAACAGCATGGTCAGTCATTGAATCACCACAACCTGGGAATGACATAGGTTGATTTTTATTATTTAATACATCTAATGTTAAAGTTCTAACTGAATCAATCACATCAATGTCTATTGCCTCTGATGAATAGCATAGAAATTGTTGTGAAAAAACTGAAGTTAGTAATAAGAAAAACAACATAAAATAATAATAATAAACAAATAACCAGTTCTTAATTATTCTGATAAATGAAAAAAAATAATAAGTTAATTATTATTTTATAATATTATTTCTTCTCCTTTATTTTTCTCTTTTGCATCCCTGTATAAGTCATATCCAACAATATTATCATATAATGCCATTCCAACAGACTTAAAAATGTTAGTCCTTCTTGTTAGTGATTTGTCTTTTTTGATGTCTATTAAATAATGAATATTTTCATTAGAAAGTTTGTTATTTTGTAATGGAATTAAAATGTCACCACTCTCTTTTTTGGCATAGTCCATTTCAATAAACACTGACGTTTCATCACTAAACACAGCATCAGGAAGTTCTCGAGACGTAGGGAGATAAGAGCCAATTGCAATAATTGTTTTATCAAGATAGAGAAGAGGTGTGTCAGGAAGAACAGGTTTAGAAGAAGTAGTAGCAGTGATGATTACTTGAGAATTAAGAACAACGTCTGTAGGGGAAGAACAAACTACAAAATGGATGTGGTGGTGAACACCATGATGAAGTAAGTCATTAGATAGTTTGTGGATGAACGGAGAAAGGTCTGTCTCAGGAAAGTTGAATAAATAAATAGTGGAGAATTTTCGAATAGAACATGCAAAGAGTAATTGATAATAACCTTGAACACCACACCCAATTAAACCTAGAGATTGTACGTTTTGTTGTGTAAGAAGATCAATTGCAAGACCACCAATACCACCAGTTCTAATTGAAGTTAAAGTGCTTCCATCTAATAAACAAAGAGGAAAACCATTTGTGTCAAATAAAATCATTAAACCGAAAATACTAGGGATATGACGATAAACATTGTTAGGAGTAATAGTTAAGACTTTGCAACCAAGGCATTGAGAAGAAAAACAGGCATTGTGACAATAGAATGATTGTTAAAAGAAGAAGACAGTCTATTAGGAACAAAACAATTAGACGAATTAAAAGAGTACAAGGCTTGTTCAATTAATTGTATTAAATGAGGAGGATTAAATAAAGATAAAATAGATTCTTTATTCAAGAATAAGAAAGAGTTGTTCATATATAAAGAAATCAAGTAGAAATGAATTTAAGATAGAAGGTAAAGTCAAGAAAGAAAGAGAAAGAATTAAAGATTAATAAAATAAGTTTCGGTATTCTTATTTTATCTACTTCACTTTGCTCAGATGAGATTACGTCATTCACTCTCTTCAGACCCTTGTTCATAGAGTACTTCTATATATTCACCTCTATGATATCCACAATATTTCATTAATTCTTTTATGTTTTTAATTATTATATCTTTTATCATTATTTTATATTAAATTAAATACAATATTCTTTTATCATTCTTACTGTTTCTTTATTAAATAATATATTTATTGTTATTACAACTGCAATTACTTTCATTTGATTTTATTAATTTGTTTTATTTTGAATTCGAGAGTTCTATATATTTTAAATTTCTTAGTAAAACTATTATATTATTTATTATTCTTATTATTTGTTTTATTTTATATTCTATATAAATATCTGATATTATATGAAATATTTAATTTTATAAATTATTTGTTGATTCAATAAATTGATCACTTCTTTATTTTATATTCTTATTTTGAATTTACTTATTTCTTTTTTATTAAATATCATTTTCATTTTATTCTCTTTTATTTTATTCTCCATTTCATTTTCATTCATTATATTTATTTGATATTTTAATTTATCACATCTCTAGATATATTCTCTTATTATTTCATGTTTTTCAATTTGTTCATTCTTATTTATAATATAATTTAATAATATATATTCATTTATTGATATTTTATCATTATAAATACTACATCATTTTAAATTATTATTTTATGTAATTAATATTTTCATAATTAATACAAATATAATAATTTCTTAGATTAATTTTAATTAATTATATTAATTTCTTTTTATATTAATATTCTTTAATATTCTATTTGTTAATTTCATATCATTTTATTTTCAATTTATTTTATTAAATGAATAATTACATTATTTAATTTCAATTTATTAATATTCAATAAATTTAATATTTAAATATTTTATTATTATAGATTATTCATTCTTATTTTGTAATAATAAATATATTTCATTAATTTCATTTTTATTAATTCTTTTATCATACACTTTATAAAATCACTTCAAATTTCATTTCTTATTCATTTTTATCATTTCTTTTATTCCATTATCTTCAAATCATAATACAATATTATTTTTATTAATTCTAATTTATATTCATCTCTTAATAATATTTCATCATTATGATATTATATATTTTATTTATTATTCTTCTAATTTCTTGTCATTATTGTATTTTTACTTATTCTTCTCCTATCTTCTTTAATAATGTCTATTCTATTCTTCTTCATATTAATTAAATATTTTATTTGTTCAATTTTATGTTTTATTAATAATATATTCATCATTGTATTATTTATTTTTATTTATTATTTTAATTCTGATGAAATTCTTGTTATTTAATAATTATTTTAATTTATTTGATCTTCTTCTTAGATTATTAATTTCATCATTTCGATATATCATATAAAATTATTTCATTGATATTTAGAAATATAATATGATATTTTATATATTTCTTTTTTAATATCTTCTATATTTTTCACTTTCACACTTCTATTCTTCATTCATATATTTAATTATTTCATCATATGTTTTTATTGAAATAATAATTAATATATGTTATTTTATTTATTTCTTTTTATTTATTTTATTGTATTATTTATTTTTATTATTATTTATTTCATCTTTCATGTTAATTATCATTATTTATTTTAATTTATTGAATTGATTTGATGTATAATTATTCTTTATATTTATTGTTATTTATATTATCTTTTTCTTGTTTCTTTCATCTATTCATCTTGCTCTTTTATCATTTCTATATATTCTTCTTCTTTATTTATCTTTATTCTTCTTTCTTCTATTATCTCTTTAATTTCTGTAATATCTAATTTTCGTTTTAATATTTATTATATTTAATCAATAACAATAATAACTTTTTATCTTATTTTCTTCTAGTTCTGATTGTTCATTTGTTTTTCATTATTTATTCTATATTGATATTCTCTCCAATTGTCTTCTCTAGTTCTTTTAATATCATTCTTATTAATTCTTCTCTAATGATTTGAATTACACATTCTTGTATTTGTTTTAGTTTCTTCCTGGATTCTTCTTTGATAGAATCTACTTCTTCTCTTCTATTATTATTCCACTCGGTCCACTTCTTTTGTATTTCTGTTTTTGTCAGTGGTATTGTTTTCTTCTTCTTCACTTTGTTAAAATTTACATCTTCAATGTCTTCTTCATTGATGTTGTTTTCTTTTTCTTCTGATAGTTTGATTATTGAATTTTCTTTTATTGCTTCTTTCTATC